GGGTCGGGGTGGGGGGGGAAAAGAGGGGAGGGAGCGCTGCGGCCTCCCTCTCGCTTTGATGGGACCTCCGCGCTTCTCCGTGCTGGTGTGGCGTCATATCGCGGGTGTTACTTGGTGTCGGGCGGGCGTGAGGTGTCACCGTGGGTGATACCGTGGCGGGGAGGTGCCTCCCCGCGCCGTGAGCCCCACGACAAGGTCAGGCGTGGGCCGCGGGCTCCGCGCTCACTTCGCGAGGGGGTCGTGGGGTTTTTAGCTGAGATCAGGGGCTCGTGAGAAACCCCTGTTCTGGAGCTGAAGCACCGCACTCGGCGAGGCCTTGCATGGGCACCCGGGTCTGTGGGAGAAACCGTTAGCTGGGTGTCTGCCCTTCCTCGGACATGTTGGCATTGTTCGCTGCTGGAGTCTTTCTTCAGTGAATGTGAGATGTGCTTAGACTCACCTTGCTTAGGGCTCCTGGCTTGCACCCAGTAACGATTTGTTACTGAGTGATAGTGTCCCAGAAGGCTGACTTGAATGAGGGAATGCCTTTGAGTTCAAATAAAGGAGGCTGTGGGGGCAAAAGGCCGGAGAGAAAAAATAATCCAAGTTGCTCTAGTGGGGGAATGTCCCTGAAAAGCTGGGAACAGTTTGGTATGGTGTGCTGCTCTCAATAGAAGGGATGGAAAGCCTCTAGGCTTTTTTTTTTTTTTTTAATAGACTAGTGGAAAATGGTGTTATTTTGCCTTTGTACATTTGGTGTCTTCACCTGACCCTGGCTTACCTGCTGTTGTTTTGTCCTGACAGGATGTTGGCTTCAAGGGCATTCAGCCTTATTGGGAAGAGAGCCATTTCCACCTCCATCTGCGTGAGAGCACACGGACATGGTAGGTGGCGACTGCTTTGTTTTTTTTAGTAAGGACGATAAATGGAGCACTTCAGAGGAAGAACACAAAAAGCTACAGCTGAGGCTTGGGTAAAGAAGGCATCAGGATAGAGGGGGGTTGGCAAGGCTGTTGCCTTGCCTGGTGGCAGGAGATCTGAGCAGGCTGTGCCAGCAGATGGCATTGTGGAGGTGCCGGCAGGGCTGGCTGCCTCTAGGGAGGTGCCTGGAGCTGAGGGCCCGGCAGAAACAAAGATGGAAAAGGTGTAGAGGGCTTCTAGGTGTTTGGTAGGCGAGGGGATCGATATGACAGCTGGAGACAGATGGCTGAGACAGTAATAGAATCACAGAACGGTCATTTTGGCCATCATAAAGTCATTTTGGCTATTACCTTTTATGTAGATCCCCCTTCTGCTTTATTCTTATGCTCTTAATGTAGCCCCCATTTTAAATGCTTCATCTGGAAGTCTTTTCCTCCTGGATTCCTTAACTGTCCTCACCTTTTTGACTGAGGTGTTGTTCTTTTGTATTGTAACCAGTAAGAGATGTTTGCACAGGAGTCCGAAGCTTGAATGGGTGTCTCTTCTGTTCCCATGTGCAGCTGGTGTTGTCAAAGCAGAGGATTTCAGCCTCCCAGCCTATGTTGACCGTCGTGACGTTCCCCTGCCTGAAGCAGCCTTTGTAAGGGATCTCTCTGCTCAGCAGAAGGCGCTGAAAGAGAAGGAAAAGGCATCTTGGACTGCTCTGTCTGTTGATGAGAAAGTTGAATGTACGTGGCGGGGGCTTTAAGTAACCTTACAGCTAGCAATGATGTAATGTAATCTGTTGCATGTTCATTATTGACAACTTTTATTAGAAAGACCACCGCAGACAGTGCCTGTTAGGGCAGCTGTTAAACCCTGCTCTTTCCAATTGCTCTGCGAGCAAAGCCGTGAGCTGTGAAGGAGCTCTGTTAATTGCAATGGAGCTCCTCGTGTGTACGCAAGCAGAGATCAGTGGTTTGTGGTCCTGGGATCCTTGGTGCTGTTTCCAAACATTAAAAGCACCGGCTGTGATGTCTGTTGGGTGCCTGAAGTCAAGTTCAGCAATTTCTCCTTCCTCCAGCAAACAGATAATAATTATATTTGTTTTTTGATTCCCACCTCCTTTCAACAAGCCAGAAAAAAATCTCTTCCCTATAGCAACATGCAATTGTTAGTCCAGCTGAGTAAAATTAAGCCTGTGTATTTGAATGTTGATGACCACTGACCTTAGAATTACCAAATTTTAGGTAATTAAAGTGCCAAACAGGTGTTTTGACTTGCAAATAAAACTGCATCATCTTCTCTAACTGCTATCATGGTATGTAAGTGAGAACCTGATCTGTGAACACTGCTCCGTCCACCCGTGTCACGGTGAGAAGGTGTAAAACTCTTTTGGGAACTGCTCAAATATTCATAAGGACTCTCCAAATCTGTTGCTGTTTTGAACTTCAAAATCTTGTGGGCCTTAGGGGCGAAGCTGAGAGAAGCCTTTAGAGATACGAGCGTTCCCATTAAAATTATTTGTGCTGGCAAGTTTTGTGGTCAATAACTGTACTGGGAATTGGAGGGAAGGAAGGAAAGCGCCATTTCTCCTCCTGTCAGGCTTGTAATGCAATTTTTGCAGAAGTTTACACTAATCTATAAAATGGAGACTAACAGACAGACCTGGTCGGGGATGAAACACATAAGGGGATGGTGAAATACAGCTCATTTACTTTGGCACAAGTCTTGGCGTGGCAGAGGCCAACTAATTCAGAAGCTATTTTAACGTCCTTTTCTGTTTGGTCAGTTTTAGGCTTTGGTCACCTCCTTCTGGAGAGTGGCATGTTGCCTGCAATTTGCAGGGAAAGGGAAAGAAATTCTTTGATGCTTTAACTTTTTTTTTTTTTTTGCAGTGTATCGTATCAAATTTAACGAGACCTATGCAGAGATGAACAAAGGAACAAACGAATGGAAGACCGTCCTCGGTGGAGTACTGTTCTTTCTTGGTGTAACTGGTCTCATCCTCATTTGGCAGAAGCATTATAGTAAGTGTATGCCATATGGTTTTAACTCTTAAATTAAGAGAAAGATCAATTGATACCTGATGGGGAATTAGACAATTCTCCGTAAACTGCTCGGAGGCTCGAAATGGTGTATCCAGCAGCCGTTTCGGTGACGTCCTGGCCGTTGCTATTTGTTAGTCTCTGAAAACTCAGTTCTGGAGTTGTAACTTCATGGAGATCAGTGGGTACATAGTGTAAATATTCAGTAGAATATTTACAGACTTGTAGAAAGGTGAAGGTGGTGGAGAGCACTTCGGTGGGAGGAGAGGAAAGGGAGGGGAAGAGTGGTGATACACTAATGATCCCAGAGCTTCCCCTTTCTGTGAAACCTGCTGTTGCAAAAGCTTATTGCTGCCTCGGTAGTAAACAGTTGGATTTCTGCCATGTTTGGCTTCCTTCCCAGCTAACGATCCTACCTCGAGGGAGCCCTCCAGCTGCCGTGAGGCAGAGCACACAGTTAAACGAGCTGCTCTCCATCTTGAGGCTTCATCTACTCACAGTGGAAGTTGAGGAGAAGGCTGTTGTCTTGGTACAAGCCTTTACTGATGAACAAAACTGCTAGAGAATCAATGCGGGAACGTGGTCTGAGCTAAATGCTACAAAAATGGGATTTAGGGAATGTAGGTTTGAACAGGTAATGGCGTGCATGTGATCAGCACCAATGGCTTCGGGGGGGGGAAAAAAGCTTTTCATTAGCTAAACTTTTACCTCTGTTCCCAACTTGCTCATTTTGTATCATAATGTAATTCTGCCTGCTGTTGAATTGCAGTGTACGGCCCTATTCCGCACACCTTCTCTGATGAGTGGCTGTCAACGCAGACGAAGAGAATGTTGGACATGCGGATTAATCCCGTGGAGGGCATCTCTGCCCAGTGGGATTTTGAGAAGAACGAGTGGAAGAAATGAAGCAACTCAGTGGAACCTGCTCTGCTTGAATATGAAATGATTCCATCACCTGTGTGTGACCTCGTTGCTTATTTACTGGAACAACCTCTCCACCTACATAGATGCGAATAAATGTCTGGTTAACTTGAAAGTTTCCTTTTATTGGTCTTCAGATGCGTTTGTTGTGATGGTAGTCTGTTGAGGGGCAAAGCTTTCCCGGATAGTCTTGTCGTGGTTGGTATACAGTCAGTTAAAGGGAATGTTTCTGGGGCACAGCCAGCACTCCCTCTGTGCAGAGGTCTGAGCTACATGTAAGGTCAGCAGGTCCCAGCTCCTGCAGAAGCTCCGCATCCCGTAACCACTCCAAAAATAGCATGTCAGCGCTCCGAAAGGCAGCGGCACGGGTGAAGCTGTGCAGGTTGGGTGGTGGGGGATCAATGCTGCTCCATCTGTCTGTCCTCCTTGTGAAGGGAACGTGTTCTCAGCAGCACGGGTGGGCTGCAGACCTCGCTCCAGTATCCCGTACAGACTGGAGTGAGGAAGAGAGAGAATCAGTAGATCTAGTTCAGCCAGGAATAGGTTTAGGTGGAACCCTGAAGCGTGTTTCATGCCTTGCCTCTCGCGTGAGGTGACTGTTCGAGGGGATCGCTGCGGCCGGGGGAGGGAAAGATGC